ATAAAAAATTTTAAAAAAATTAAAAATCCTCTTATAAAAGAAAAACTCTTAAAAATATTTTATCCATAAATTATACATATTAAAATATTAGTTAATATTTAATATAAAAACAAAAAAAAAAAGATATAATATTTAAAAATAATTTAACAAATATATATCATCGTAAACGAGGCGAGGAAAGGGAGACATGCTGACCTTATGAAGTAGTTGTTAGTATTATAATGCAACTAATGATACAAATTGCAATTTTTTAAGTTCACACACATTATACACTAATCTCTATCCCTTAGCCAAATCATGATATCATTTTTGGCATCTGATTAGTTTTAGGACACTTCGTGCGATATGACATCATAAAGTAGCCGCATGCCTCAATCAACCATCGCTTTTCTTCTTTTGAGAACTCTAATATTTTAGCAAGAGAATCCATCCCAATTACAACAATTAGGGAATCAAATTGGTAACATTATGGATATGCTGTTGTAGAGATAAGAACGATTCACCAAGAAAAATAATTTTTTCCCAACCTAAGGAAGTTTATACAGATTAAAATAGAAGAAGATAAAATATATAAAAAAAAAGGAAAAGAATAAATATAGATATAACAAAGAATTGTAACTAAAAAAGATAGATTAAAATAAATAAAAAATATTTTAAAATAAAATACATTCATTTTTATTAATTAATAAATTCAAATTTTAATATACATGAATTTATATAAGTATTAGAAAAAAAATATAAAATACATTTTATTCTTTAAATTTTATATTTTGTGTGGAAACAAAAAGTAAGAAGCTCGAGTGAGATTTTGCCACAACTTCAACGGGCCGAAACGGCCCGCACGCCGGTTTGTAATGTGGACATAACAATCTACGCCAAACAAGCCCAACATTCACCATAGGCCACACAGTTTTTGTTTCTATTGTTACTGTTTACCTCAATTTTTATTTTATTTTCTACCTTAATTCGTTCCAGAATTTTCAGCTTTGTTTCGTCATTTGGTAATGGGAATTGAAAGAAAGCTACATATAAGTAATACCACGAAGAAAGAAAAAAAAAAGTAGATGTAAGATAACATTTTAGATACTATCGTAAAATTATTATGAACGAAAAGTACTTTTTTCATCTACAAGAAAATTCCCCCTCTAATCTAATTAAACTGAATAATGTTTCCATTTGCTAGAAAACTCTGACAAAAATAGTTTTCCCTCCAATCTAGTTGAATTGAAACAAACTCTTCCTCCAATCTAGTTAAACCGAAATAAACTCTTCCGGTTAAAGAGAATAAAAATATTATTTACGACGAATATCTCTTCCAATCCAGTTAAAATTTCTCCTTCAAATTTAATTAAACTGAAACAATCCTATGTTAATTAACTCGTGAATATTAATTTCATACGTTCAATGATACATTATAATAGATAATTCCTTCCAAAAATATTTAAAAAAACCTACAATGAAATGATATATTTTAGCACCGCACCAACATTCATCTCTTTCTCCACGAAATTAGTTTTTTAATTAATTCCACAAACATTTCTTCCATAACTCTAAAAAAACGAAGAGGTAGCAGTATATAGTTGTGCAAACTAGAGTTAGTGAAGTTTTACTTTTAGCGAACATAGAATCCCAATTCCCAGGTGAATGGTGATATGGATGACTGTGGAAGTTATACTATACGTTCCTCGCAGAAACAGTGCAGGTAGATTCTTTATACATGAATCGCCCTATAGTTTTAATTTAAAGAATTAGCGTGTGGTTGTGCATGTTGTTGTAGAAGCGATGGTAACAGAAAATAGAAGGTAGCTAGCGATCGAGAAGAAAAAGTGGTAGTATTATATTATATATATCTATAGGAGGCATGCATATATAGCAGCATTACATAGTGATTAGGAATATGTTTAGCATATAGACATAGAGAAAAGGAAGCCCTAGAGAAAAACAAAAGGATAGGCTAAGAAATAAGAATACATAAGAGATTGTGTTTGAGAAGAGTTAGTTATAAGCAGAAGGTGTTGGGGTTGGAGGCGTAAGAGAGAAGAGTTGGTCGAGATCGGGTGGGTGGAAGTACCCATTTTTAGGCGGGTCGGGTTTCCTCCGAAACGAGAAGGGCTTCTTCTTGGGTGGCGGAGGGGGCGCCACCGCCGTGGGTATGCGGCAGTCCCAGCGGTTGGGCGTGGAACAACGGTCTTGCTCAACGACAAGGGCAGCGCACATGATGATGGTGGTTTCTAGTAAGTAAGAAGATTGGTTGTGTCGAGAAGGCAGGTTCTGTATTTATCCATAAAAGAGGTTCTGGAAGACGCTAGGAGCAACAACGTTGTTATGTGGCTGTGGTACTGACAGGTGGCACACTCCCTCATACGTGGCGCCAATAACTCAGTTATGTGTTTTTTAAGTTTCTACTTACCACTTACCACTTACCACTTACCACTTACCACCACCGCCATCCTCTCCTCCCATAACTTCCTTCTTTTAGGACGTCAAGTGCTCACATACACCATATATCAGATGTAATTCACACAGGTTATGTAAGATTAATTCACTTTTTTTTATATATATAAATATCACAGATTATTCCAATAATTATTGTTCCACTTATCTCGCTATCTATGCATATTTAGTTTCATAAATTTCACGATATACAATCTTCAATATATGTATATGTGCAACTAGTAATTTAGTTAAAATAAAATTTACAAAAAATTTATTATCAATAATTAATTACAATGACATATTGGAATGTGTACCAAATTCACATAATTAGATTGAAATTGAAATAATCAATCACGTGATCATCATAAGATCACCATAATATAATATAAAGTAGCATAATTTATTATCCAATCATCGTAAAAACACCATAATGTAATATAAGGTAGCATGGCAAGTGACATAATCAATTTTAATATTGATTTGTATATTTTGTATTTTGTATTTAGATATGCGTTGATATAATTGATTTAGAATTAGCACAAATTTATAAAATTAATTTTGAATAAATACCAGACAAAAATAACATGATTTTTGTTTTAATGACAAAGAATGTAAATTTAATTTTTACATTAAATATTATTCAAAAACTTGTTATCAAAATTTAATTTTAGTGTATAATTTTAAATCTAAATAGATGAAACTTCATAATTGATTTTATTTGATAGATAAATTACTAATGATTGCTTTCAGAAAAATCTAAATTTTTACATTTTAAAATTATTTATGTTAATAGTCAAACGTGTTACAAATGTGATTCTAATTATTTTGAATATAATATGATTTATTTTAAATATATTTGATGTGAAATCAATCATACATATAATAAAAGTGTAACAAAAATGAAGAAATTCCTTTTATTATTTTTATAGATTTAGTCTTTATTATTAAAATATATATTATTATTTTTTCTCTCGATTCATATAACTGCGTAAATTATTTCTTTATATATATATATATATATATTACATGTATAAATACTAAAATAAATTAATTTTTATAACTAAAAATTTACAAGTAAAAATTTATGAAATGATAGAGAACAATCAAAATAAAATAAACAATATGATAAAAAGAAATAAAAAAAAGATTTTTTAAAACAAAAGAAAGCACCGACAAACAATTCAAAAATTATCCTGTACTTTGCAAAATGACCCCCAACTACTTTGCTGTTCTTATTATGCGTCTGCAGTTAGCAGCTTCACGTGGGCTTCTGTCTAAAAGTGAAAATAAAACAAAATAATTTGTCACTTGTTTTATTTTATTTAGTTGAGAGAGCAGAGCCAAAAATGGAAATCCAAAGATTGCAAGTTGCAACTTGTTCAGTTCTGGTTGCCGCGTAAAAAGAAAGTAATGGCAAAGGGGTTAGAAACTTAAAAAGACAGGCACGTGGCACTATGGGAGTGGACAACGTGGTACAAGTAAACATCAACATTTAAGATTCTTTTTCTTTTCTAGTTCTGCATCATCGATCTTCAATACAGTAACAATCGCTTTCACTCAACGCCATTCTGTATTTAACCCTTCAATACTTCTCTCTTTCCCCTTCCCTTCTCTACGATCTGCTTCTTTTTGCTAACTGTTCCCATTTTCAACACTGTAAGTTTATCTCTCTAGCTTCTTGCTTTTGAATGTGATGATCCATATAACGTATCTTGATTTTCTTCACTTTTGAGTTTAACATTAACATGATGCAATGGTTCCTTCTTTTGCGTCTAGTTAAGCCTACTAGAGTCTGAAATGGAAAACGGGGATCAGTTCCAGGAAATTTCAAAGACCAAATACAATTGTCTTTTATTTGGTAAGCCTTATATTATATGGTCACTTTCTCTCTCTTACATGCTTCCTTATTCTGCCTGGTCACATTCATATCTTGGTTTTGACATTTTGATTATTTTCAGATCTTGATGATACCCTTTATCCTTTGAGTTCTGGATTGGCTGAGCAAGTTAAAAAAAATATCCAGGGTAATGACTTCACCGAATTTGATATGTGATTACTTGAATGTGTGTGGATTTCACTGAATTTTATTAGTTTTTAATGAATGCGTTGCACAGAATACATGCTTCAAAAGCTTGGGATACCGGAAGCTAAGGTTTCCGAGTTGTGTTTTTCGTTATATAAGACCTACGGGACAACCATGGCTGGTCTCAAGGTATAATTAATTGAATCGAACTCTTCTTATTTGTTAAAAGGCTCTTTTATTTGTTTATTTAGATGTGATGGTGAACGAATCAGTCATTGTCTCTTTCCC